ACAGCTATTTTTGTAGACAGTTTAGAAGCACTGCAATGCTTAGTAAATAGATTACATCAAGTCAGTATAAAATATGGACTACAAATGAATGAACCAAGTGCATGATTATTTCGAGGGAAAACACGTAGAAAGAGTGAATAACTACAAATATCTGGAAACCTGGGTAAATAAAAACAATGACCAAGGTAGAGAAACAGAGACACGCAGTGAGATTTTAAGACCAGTATTTATAAAAATGAAAACAATGTTTGTTAATCGAGACCTTCTGCTTGAGCTGAGAATAAGAGCCTAAAGATGCTACGTGTTGTCGACTTTGTTGTATGGAATGGAAAGCTGGGCAATAAAAGTTGATAATATAAAGAAATTGGAATCATTTGAGATGTGGTGCTATAGAAGGATTTTAAAAATAACATGGACCCAACGAGTTACAAATGTAGAAGTGTTAAGAAGGCTATAAAAGAATTGCGAGGTCATAAGGCACATCAAAACAAAAAAGCTGACATATTTAGGCCACATTACCAGACGTGCGAAATATGAGAGATTAAGGCTTATAATGCAAGGTAAAATCAATGATAAAATATCCATAGGAAGACGAAGAAACGTCCTGATAGCTGTGATGTAATAAGGTACTGATAGCTGTGATGACAGCCAACCTCCGAAATGAGAAGGAACTACAAGACAAAGTGTAACGTTTAATCATAACATGAGACACATCGAATTTATCGTTCTAAATTTATAATATAACGATTCCAAAAACAAATAAGTTATAATTTACCTATTTAAAGTTTTATCCTTAATAGGGTTTTAATTTGCGCTTTAAAAATTCTCGAATAAGACACTTTAGTTTTCTTGGAATAGAATAAATATCCACTTAGTTTGTCTACAAAAACCAATATTGGAGTTCTTAATTTAAAACGGTGTAAGAATTAAAAGTGCTTGTAGGCATTTGCCAGATTTCTCTGGCAAATGCCTACAAGCACTAGTTGCCTCTAGGCTCTAACAATCGCTTGCTGGATAGAATTCGTCATGAGTGTGTATAGGTTTATTTTACTAGCGAAAAACCATAGATGCATGAGATTTAAAATATTTACTGGTTCAGGTTTTGAACAAGCCAATGGTCTGGCTTCTTTCGCCAAGTACTTGGGTTTTATCTCTTAGTATCAATAACTCAGCAACATATCAACAATTTTCAGTTTAGTCCATTAAAAGTTAAGTGAAATTTTTGTCTTCGTTTGTTTGTCAGAGGAAGTGGGACTGGAACTATAAGCTTTTGTTTTGTAGTTTCTTATTGTAGTTTCTTATTAAAGGAGTATACTTAATTTATTCTTCTTCTTAGGGTGCCTGTCCGTTCCGAACGTTGGCGATCATTCTGGCTATGATGATTTTGTTGGTTGCTATACGAAATAGCTGTGTTGAGGTCTTTCTATACCATGCTCTCAGGTTAGCAAGCCAGGATATTCTTCTTCGTCCTGGGGCTCTTTTTCCTTCAATTTTACCCTGCAAAATGCATTGGAGTAGCTCGTATCTGCCTTGATTTCTCATTATATGTCCCAAGTACCCCAGTTTACGGCTCTTCACAATGTTGGCCAAATCCGCGGTTATGTTCATCCTCCGCAGTACTTCTTCATTGGTGACTTTGTCTGTCCACGGTATCTTCAGAATTCTTCTGTATAACCATAATTCAAATGACTGAAGATTTGTTAGAGTTTCCGCCTTCAATATACACGTTTATACTCCATACAGAAGCACTGAGTACACGTAACATTTAAGGAGCCTTATTTTTGTTTTCAGAGTGAGGTCATGTCTTTTTAACACAGAGCTCATAGCCAAGAATGCACTTTTGGCCTTTCCGATGCGACATATAATCTCTTGGGTATTGTCCCACGACTCATTGTTTATAGTTTCCAAGTAATTGTATTGTAAGACACGTTCAATTCTCATTTGGTTCACATACAGATTTGCTCCAGTTATGTTTTTCTACTTGTTTCTGTTATTTTGTTCATTAAGTTTTGCAGCCCTTCTATGGTATTGGAAAACACTATTGTATTATCTGCATACCGCAGGTTATTAAGCTTGACTCCATTTATTGAGATGCCTTCATCAATATCTTTTAGGGCCTCTTCAAAAATGTGCTCCGAGTACTTAATTCATAATTTGTTTAATTGGAAGCAGTCCTTCTTTCATTGATAGAACTCGGAAAGTCTAGTGATGAAATCAAGTATGGTGACAAAGAAATTCACAGTAAATTTTTAGTTTTTTATCCTGTTTTAACAGTTAAATATTTCTATGTCTTTCCGTATAGTAGATATGAACATAAAAAAGAAAACAATAATATTATAGACCATTCGTTACAATGCACAGTGGGCCCAATAAACAAAGAGAGGGCATAGTAGATCTATTAACAGCGTACTGTAAGCTGAATAGGCAGTCAAAGCTAATGGAATTGACAGATGGTGATCTGTCACCTAGAGTAAGAAACAGCAGAGTACATTTTCTGTGAGTATCGCCTGGTAAATGCTGTACTGACACAACCTCATTAAATATATCTATTTATCTATCTTGCTGAACGAACATACCTAGCCGTGATTGATCCTTGTTATTTTACTAGATATGTATTAGTTTTAATAGTTTTTTTGTCTCTTGGAGGAAAGACAAAGTGGTGCCCTTTTTTACAAAGTATTTATGATTTTTCTTTGCATTGTTTTCCTATATTTCTGATTTAGCTCTAATTTTGATCCATAGCATCTGACAATTTTTATCCTTCTTAATTTTGTTTATGTGCTAGAAAGAATGTCATAACAACCACGCCCACTTCTCCGCCGATTCTGAGCAACGCTACCCGATAGAACGCTTAGTCAAAAGTTCATTATTATTTTCCCCTGTATAATGTCAGTTTGTGGCGTCACAGTATTTTCATAAAAATACTCTTATTGCGATAACTTTAGGTAGTTTTATGTAAAATACTAGCTTCTATTGGTTTATCTCATATTTTCAAAAAAAATTTATTTGTCTTGCCCATTTGTCAGTCAATTTCTTTTTATTTTTAGGTATTTATTTTGATTTTGTCGTTTTTTTTTTAGTTTTGGACAATCTGTTCATTATTTTTTCTTAGATAACTTTCCATATACTTCTTACTTTTTATTTGTTTTAACATTTATTTTAGTGGTTTTGACAGATTTTTTGCCGAGTGTAGTTTTCGTGCTGGTTGTTAATGTTATTGTATTCGATTTTCTTATTTTTAAGAATTTTTAAGATCTAATCTTATTCTTGCCAAAAAATTCAAGTTATTTATTATTATATGTATTTGTTAATAAAAATTGTTGTGTCATATTTACAGCAGATGTGATAGAAACTAAAATCATGTCATTAAACATTCCAAAAAATTTACATCCTGGATATAACTCCAAACAATTAATTTCTAGGTATCATTCAGGCTAACTATTGTTGCACTTTTTACACAATTTCTTTATTTTATATTAGTAGCATTTATTTTGAAATAAAAAGAAAAAGAATTAAGATATGTATTGTTATGATATGTAAAATCAAGAAAATATTGGTTTGTTTAAAAATATTTCAAAGTTCAAATAATTAAAATAATTCAGATAAGTCGAATTAATAAACGACAAACATTTCGAAGAATGAAAGTCCTTTTATCTTTGGATTACCTATATTGAACAAAACGTAAGCTATGTATAAATTATTTTCTTTGTTAAAATATATTGGAGTGACGTGAGCGAACTTAAGACAATTGAACCGGGTTGTCCAAATACATTAGTGCAGTGATTAGGACAATAGAATAGATTTTAGAAAGATATGTTTTTGTTAGTTCTTAGGAATTGGTAGGAAAAGATTATTTTGTAAAATAGTTTTAGGAAATTTTATAATTGTAGGTAAAAATTTGTGTGTTATCGAAATGAAGAAATGGGAGATGGATGGCGCGTTTTGATTGGATGAAATTGAAAAAGGTGGGATGATTGGTTTGAGAATGAGACTCTAGTTAGTTTTTGAAACAAAAAAGATAGAGGTAGGAAGCAGTAGCAGTGAAAGTTTGTGAGTTTTCGTGTAGTTAGTGTATCTGATAGAAGCTGATCCAGTAAAAGATTGTAAGTTATATTTTCTACTTATATTTCAAGAGTCACTGTTCAGGCCAACGAGAGATTCAGTTTATCGTAAAGAAAAGATATTCCAAGAGTCATTTTTCACTCAGACCAACGAGAGATTCAGTTTATTAAGAAAAGAAGAAGCTAGCATAATTTGAACGATTCGTGCATTTGAAGGAGATCATTAAGGACGATAAACTTGCAATAATTTGTTGTAAGATTGCTGATTACCTAGGGAGCGGCTGAGAGTAGATAATATAGTCTACAAGGAACAAGGATTTGGACCACTCATCATCAGAGAGAGATAGTTTTGTTTTCTGCAGTTTTTCTTTTATTGATAACACAATTTTTACACTTAATTTAGAAAGGATATAAATATTTTGATTAGGAGATTTAGAACAATATTTGGGATTTTGAGATTTCAACTAATATTGTTTGTACCATTAATTTTGAAGGTTCACGCACGTAGAACAAAATTTTGAGAATCATTATATGAGATTTTGTTTATTGAAAATTTTTAAGTGTCAATTTTATTTCATTATTTTATTTCAATATATAATGTTAGATCCTATATGTTTTTTATTATTCCGGTATTCTTTGGACCTTACCTTTCACATGTAATAGCATAGATATTGAAGCACGAATAGAACCCTGAGATAAGAGAATTATGAAGTGTGATAGAATCATAGTCATATCATTTAAATAATTTTAATTAATTAATTACTTAATTAGCTAATTAATTGTTTGGCGCACTAAGACTTTAAATATCACAATAGTATATTACTTACTGTAAGGTGAGAGGGAAGCTCCGTGTACAATGCTTTGGGAGTGTTCGGTTATTCTAGTCTGTGGAAGTATTTTCGTTAATGTAACTGGGGCTACAGTGCGAACTTTGGCTACTTCAGCGACATGAGCAACAGGTAGAGCAGTAACGTGAGATAAATGAGCAACTGGGGTTTCTACGTGAGCTACTTTAGCTATAGGGGCGATGTGCTGCACTGTCGATACAGAAGAGACTTTGGAAAGCGGAGAAATATTATCTACGGTTGACACTTCTGAAACTACAGGACCTGCTACGTTGGCTACTTTAGCATCGACGACAGGCAAAGCAGCATTTGTTATTACTGAGTCTCCAGATGAGGACACTTCAGAAACAGGTACTGCTACTGTCTTAACCTGAACAGCTGGTGTAACGATAGCGGCTTTTACTTGTGGAGTTTTTCTGACTACAGCTTGAAATCCGTTGACGTCATCGGCAGTGTAGTCTACAATGCGACGGGTACCATCAGGTTCATCAAGAGAATATTGACCTGAAAGCAGAAAATAAATTGATAACATCATTAATAAACAGTTAAATTGTAGTTTTAATTAACACCAATGGATTTACTAATAATAAGTTAGTTTTAATAGTTGAAGCAGAAGCTTGGGGAAAACTTAAAAACACCAATTCTTGGTTGCAAGGAAAATTATGGAACCCTGTAACAGAAATCCAATTTTTGCTAATAATAATTTTCGGTTAACTGCTTATTTTTTTGTAAACGGCACTGTAAGTGAACAAAACTGTCGATACTAAGCAACTTAAGGCTGTTTTAGCAGTCAAAACACACTGCGATTTGAAATGGGCGTATTACTTTTTCTCACTGCTTACGCCAGCCGACGACGGGTACAGCTGTTTTCGCAGTGGCGCCGGCCGGCGGGTGGTTTAATGACAACAAATGCATTATTCTTCATTCAAATTACGTTTGTCGGGAATACCTTTTTTGTTTGATTATCGTAGATGTTTTAAAAACAATTATCACATTTTTAATTTATATGTCTTAGCTAAATATAGTATTGAATATAAATTTGTGAAACGTGACTGCAAAAAACATCATGGTGTTTATTTATAATAAATTAAAATAACATAAAAATATTATTATCAAAAAAAAATACAATTTTTTGTCACAAACAAATATACAATTTCGCAGTTATAGCTTGAAATTGATTTCAAATCAAATTATCTGACCGTACGTTCATAAGATTTGACGTCACGCAGCCGATAACGGTGAAACTAAATGCCAATGATGAGTAACACGTGTCACTATTAGATTTCAGTATTTTTTAGCAATTTTCTTTAAAGTTTGAACACGCTTTTCTCGATTATTACTGGACATAAAAAGATGAAAAAAAACCAACGATTACAGAAAAAAAAAACTCTTTCAAGTGATGGGCGTAAAAAGTTTGGTTATAATAGAACGTTAAACTGTATAATCCGATATTTCAAAAGAACTTTCAAAAAAAATTAAAAAAGTAAAACCATCAGTTTAAAGGCAACATAATTTTGAATAACGTGTCCAAATTTCGAGATATTTTGTCGGTAAATAACAGAGAAAACACTGTATCTAGGTTTTGGTGTACCGATAAAACAGCCTTAAATCCTTATTGTAACACGGAATCTTCTACTCAATTCTCTCAAAAAATTAATCTATAAGCGGAAATTATTAATAATAAAGAATCTAGTTGTGGTAGATGACAATCTCACTAGTGAAAATTATTTAGTTATGTTGAGATAGCACACAGTGCCAAAATTATTTTAAATGAAAGCAACCCAAACATATTAAATAAAGCTTTGCGTTGCCAACAAAACTCATTTTACTGCGATTTGCTAATATTCCCAAATCAATGAATTCGAAGAAGAGGTTTCATTTAATGGCCAGAACGATCGCCAGATCATACTCCGCTGGATTTATTTTTGTGTTGATATATTAATGTCCTTAAAAGTATTTGAAACTCGACCAAACTAAGATTATACTAACTGAAAGATAGAATTCGTATAGAAATTTGTGCTTTTTGACTTAAAACTCTTGGAAACTAATTGTAGTCAATACCGATATATATATATATATATATATATATATATATATATATATATATATATATATATATATATATTGGCGTTTTTAGAATTCCATTCTTATTTAATATCTTATTACGTCTTATTAGCTTTTTTTTCTATGATTTGGTTAACATTAGGCTACTGAAGGATCCGACTCTGCTTGTAATTAGGGGTTGTTTAAAGAGATTCCAAATTCATTCAGAATCTAGCTTGGATCTTTTAATGTTTCTTAATATTTTATTTTCAAAGAAAAAGAGGCGTTGTTGTCTTTTTAGTGCCAGGCACCATGTCTCGCAACCGTGATACTACTGGTTTTATATTAGTATTATAGATGCTTAGACTTAGATGTTGTGACAGTAATTTTGATTTCAGCATTTAATTTAAAGCTTCTGGAGCCTTATTTTCTTATATCTGTAATTCTTGCGGGTATTTCCTCTTTAAATTTATTGCTTAAGAAGTAAAAATAACGGTACATCTCTCAAGGAAACGGCAAGTCGTTATCACATAAATGTTGCTACATTAATAATAAAAACTAAAGATCAGAAAATGGCAATACGTTGCCACAAACATAACAGAATGGCCTTAAAGTAGGCCAATATCCACAGAGCATTGTCGAGATAAACATGATGATGACAATAAAAAGATACATTCGACTGCAATGATCCAAAAATGTCGAAATCATCTTCTCTCCTGATTACAAGAAGGCTCAAATATTTACAAATACAGGGAAAAATATGTTTAAAATTTATTTAGATATTGCAAACAAATTACACCATGGCCTCACAACCAAACAAGCAAGTGAACTAGCATAGGAGTTTGAGATAAGAAATAATAAAGATATCTGATTTGTGGAATAAACATAAGCAAGCCAGTTATGAGTAGTTATACAGACTTTGTGAAGAGGATTAAGACCTTATCATTATGCTCTTTGAAAGCAAAAAGTCTTTCTAGAGCAAATTGCTTCAACAGAAACAATGTTAAAAATGTTTTCGAAAATTTAAAGACAGTTTTTGAAAATAATGAAATTGGGCCAAAAGCAATTTGAAGCGTGGACGAAACTAGACTTTCAACTGTCCATAAGACAAAGAAGATTATTGCATACAAAGGTGAAAAACAGGTTGGTAAAGTAACGTCAAAAGTCCGTAAAGCAACAGTAAATGTTTACTATATATACTTTTTTTGGTTTTATGGTTTCATCTCGAAAACTTTGACAAGATCGCATGATTGATTATAGCCCAATAGGTGCCACCGGCGTATTTATGGAAGTAGATTGATGACCGCTTCTAATTTTATTAAATTTTTGGAACATATTTAAAAACATGTAAAGACGACTACTGACAATAAATGTTTAATCGTAATGGACAATCAGAATAGCCACATTAGTTTGGAGGCCATAGCATATTCCAAAGGACACAGAATAATTATTCTTACCATACTATCATACATATCGCATAAGTTCCAAGAGTTAGGCAGGAGTGTATTTGGCCGTCTCAAGAGTTTTTATAATACTCTCTGTAATGATTGGATGATGACCCACCCAGGAAGGACAATTACAATATACGAAGTTATAGAATGCTTAGCTTCCGCTTTCCCCGTAGCTTTTACTTCACGTAATCTTGAGAGCGGCTTCAGAATTACGGGTATATGGCCTTTTAATTCAAATATTTTTAACGATAAAGATTCTAGGTCGGATTATGTTACTGATTGCGAAGATCTGAAAAACAATTTCGCTTTATTTTAGTGTGATGTTTGCTTAACCAACCATATATAATAATAATCAACCCTCTACTTATACCGGCACTTTTACCTCTCCTGAAATAGTTAGACTACATTCCACAACTAGATCGATTTTATATAATTATGTCAACTAAATAATATGTAATCAACAACATTCTGTAAATGGAGACTTCACAAAATGAAGAGCTATAACAAACATCAACAGAGCACCAAAATTCTCATAGCTACACTAGAAAAACTTGCGCTTGAAGCTGAAGTTCTTCAACGGCGCTAAAGAACAAAAAAATAGAAAAAGAGCAAAAGACCAAAGTAAGAGCACTAAAAAATAATGAAACAAAAATTTAAAGATTTGAGAGAATCTTTAAGTTCGGTGGGCAGTGATCCTAAGGATAAAATGCAAGTAGAGACAGATATTGAATGTGAATCAGAAGCAGAAGTTGACGAGTTTAGATTGAGTGTGCAAGATTGGGTAATTGTAAGTTTTGTACCCGAAAGAAACTTAGTCCTTATTTTGGTAAGATAGATAAAGGACGAGAATTTTAAAATCAAATTTGCCCAAAAAGGCATGACAAATACTTTAACTGGTTAGAAAAAGGAAACATGGGTGAAGTCGCATTATTTGTTGTAAGTCCTGACTGAGTAAAGCTAGGTTTCAGCATCCATTTTTTAGTTTTATTTTAATATCGTAAATCTGGGAAGGCATAATCAAGTCACCCATACACAAGGATCAAGTCTCCCGAAGTAAGGGGAGACATGATTAGTTTTTTCCTATTACTAGATTCGATATTAGCAGTTTACTTTTAGCGTGTATATTACCCAAAACTGTAATAAATTTGTAATGTTTCAAAACATTATCTAGGTTTTAGATCGGTTATAAAAAAAAACTTATCTGAAACAATATAATTCACATATTCACCTCTGTCTTTATATCGTATTTTGGTTTTTTGTACAATATGGTTTTTTTTAATGATGGTTTAAATGAAATAAAGTTTATATAAATTATTAAAAAAAGCAAACAAATAATAAGGGTTAAGGAACATAATTCAAATACAGATTAAAATTAAGTTATTATTGTTATTTTACATTGTAAGTTAAATTTCGAAATTTCGACAATACAGCAGCAAAAATATATTTTGTTTACAAATCAAATGGTGTGTAGGACTTTAGATTTTTTAAATATGGATAAAGTAATCGAATTATCTTAAAAACATGATCACACATGTAAGATGAAAAAAATTTCAGGGCTAACTCGACATAATAAGAACCAGATCAATTTTGGTGATGATGTAGGCGAACCGAACAAATTATTTAAAAATATTTAAAACAAGGAAGTATTTCTGGATCTAAATAAATAAATTAGCAGTTAAGTTGTGACAATTTATTGGTGTGATATGTATCAAACCGCCGAAAACAATATTTGAATATTTATGACCGTGATGTCGATGGAAAAGAATGTTAAACTCGTAAATTAGAAACGGTAGCAAACAGGTTGCTAATTTTGTGGTTTTTTGGTCAGTTTCGCCACTTTTATGTTCTTTTTATTACTCATCGTATCGGTGTGATAATTAGTTTGCAATTCGCATCAACCTTTTTTTGTATGCGTTGAATTAAACATTTATTTGCATGTGCAAAGTAGACTACAGACCAGACATGATTGATTAATTCGCATGAGTTTTTTTGATGAAACATGTAATAAACTTACTGAAAAAGAAAAATGCTAAATATATGTAGGTACCTTAAGAAATCGGGAGAAAATATTTTAAGCTGCTGCTTTTAAGAAAATCCAGTTTTAAATTAATTACTATTTAACTGGGAATAAGCCACAATTAAAGATAAAAATACGTTTATTGACGTTTCAATTTTTACTTCGGAAATCGTTCTCAAAATACAAACAGTAAATTAAACAAATTTTGTTTTTTAGTTACTTAGTGAAAAATTCTTCTAATAATTTAATTTTATCTGACTCATTTATATTGACAATTCAGACATACATTATGCATTTTAAAGTAGACGACTTTAAAATGATATTGCCAATATTGTTGAGTTGCGCTCCTGGGACGACTTTACTTATAAGATAGTTCACTCGATTACATGAAATCAACTTTAACTTGAGAATATCCGTCAGAAAAAAATCATAGCATGTAATTCGTCTTTAAAAAGACAAACACATGACATGATGACAGTAAAATTCTGCTGTTAGTGATTCCATAGTAAATTATGAGGGAAAACCAGAAAAAACCTCATAAAATTTTTACGAGTTTGGATAAATTTAGTAATGGCGAACGTAATTGTTGAAAATGCGGGCTACATTTCAGTGTTTAACAAACGCAGATAAATATTAATCTTACGAATTATTATTTGGATCGCCGTGGTTATGATTCATTATCAAATATAATAAAACTTGTGTCTAAAATAAGTGGTGTTTCTGAAAGGATTTACAAAGTGCGCCAGGAGTTTGCCACACCTGCTGGTCTTTAAAAACCGGAAAAAAAATTAATATGATAAAACAGAAAAGTGTGGGATCAGTCGAATAAAGCACCAATTGTCGGTACCTACGATTCATTCTTCGATACTACGAATAAGGTTATAATATCATCTATTTAGATGAGTTATGGGTAAACGTAGGTTACAGCGTATCAAAAGAATGGACACGTCCATTAAATAGCAAAGAGATGTATTTGTTCGTAGTTTGAGGACAGGCTTAAAAGCTCCTGCAGCTCGTGATCCCCATGTAGGATGTGAAAATGGCTTTGTTGATGGAGCAGAACTGACTTTTCTGGCAAATAAGAACACCCAAGATTACCAGGACGAAATGGATGGTGCACTCTTTTAATATTGGTTTAACCCAATTTATAATTTGCCAGATAAAAACAGTTGTGGTGATGGAGAATGCTCCTTATCATAACAAGAAATTTAAGAAGTTTCCAAACACTACTTTTAATAAAGAATAAATAAAAACGTGTCTTTCATCAAAAGATATATTTTATGAAGAAAATTATTTAAAAATTGTTGAAAGCTCAACTCCGTAGAGTTAGTATGGAGCGAAGTAAAAAGATATATTGCGGCACACAACAAAACTTTTAAAGAAGAAGTTAGGAATTTCTTTACGAAAGCTTACTTACAAGGTACTCAAGAAAAATGGAAAATTATATGAAACACGTAATTGGAGAAAAAACGGACGTGGAAAGACATGTCAAGATGATGTATGATGATATTCAACCCAACTTTTACAAACATTGGTAGGTTGGAAAGTGACAGTGGTTTTATTTGTACTGACACGGACGAAGCTGATGACCAGTAACGTAAGATATTATGTTTAATTTAAAATTAAAAAATATCTTATTTACCTTTTTATTACTTTTGTTTATTAAAAATAGTTACCATTTTCCCATTATATTAGGTATAAAACAAATGCAGCAAACAGTTTTAATACAAATTTTTATATTTGTTTATTATTATATTTTATATTAAAATATTTTGTTTTATATTAAATGTTATATTTTTTAATTAAACATTTATAGAGTTGACGTTTTGGGCTATTTTATTATTAGTCAATTTTCAAAACAATCATTAAACCTCGCAATGGGTTTATTCAAAATATTTTTGTACGGTTAAGATTTATTCATCTAGAATTATTGTTTTTATAATGGCCTAACATAAAATAGTCTGAAACTGAAACACTATGTTTTTTAATAACACACGTTTTTGGCCGTTCACAAGTGAATTAAAAGAAAAAATAATTATGGAGTACTGTCAAAAAATTATTAATTGTTTGATGACCGGTAAGAAAATTAAGCAAATGAAAGTATTAGACAGGTACTCTTAGACGATTATCGCTGTTAAGTTCTGTAGAGTACAAAAAAAGAATTAATTTATAATTCACAGAAGGTGGCAAAGCCGCTTGCAATACACAACCACATTGATTTTAACGTTTAAAATGTACTACGTTTGAAGTTAACTACGAAACTTGTGTTTTCTTTGCCTAAGCATAACCCGCAATATCGAAAATTTCATTTGTCTTGTCTTTCAAATTTAATATGCTTTTAACCATACTCAATAAAGTAAATTGAAAATGTTTATGATGTGCCCTATTTTAAAGAAATAAAATGGTTTTTTATGAATCCAGATCTTCCATCTAAACAGAAATGGCACAAAAAACTTTAACGTTTAATGAAATGGAGTCACATTATCACACTTTTCATTCATCAAGGACCTTAGAGTGATGCTAGATAAAATATTGATTTACACGCAGCACATGGAAAATACTAAATTTCAGATCTAAGCTAGAAATAATATGCTACAAAGACTAACATCATCCAGATGACGATCTAACTTAAGTGTGCTACAAACAAGTGTGCCTAGCAACAGCAGAATATGCCTGTCTTCTGTCGGAGCGATCAAGACGGACATCTTAAGGACAAGCAGAAATAATTTTCAACATAGTACAGGTAAAATCAGCTGCACTTAAATGCAGATAAAACTAAAGATTAGACCCAAGTTAGAAATAATAATGTGCTACAAAGCACAGGGTAGAAGGAGTCGCGAAAGAAGGCGCATCTCCTGGTTGAATAATTTAAGAGCTTGGTTTACTTGCACTTCTGCTGACCTCTTTAGAGGAGCGGCGTCGAAAGTGCGAATTACCATGATGGTTGCCAACCTTCTTAGAGAAGATGGCACGTGAAGAAGAAGACAAAGCATTGCTACAGTACAGTGCTACCTCTGTACCTGTCAATAACAAAATATGTATGTCCTATTTGGGAGTGATCAAGACACATCTATAAAAAAGAAAATGAGACATGCTGATTGTTTACCGGCTGCTTAAAGCTAACAAAGTTTAAACATCTTTAATTATGCCAAGCATCGCTTCTCCAGTTGTAAAAAGGAAAACGCACAGTATGGGACAACAAACTAAACAGATAAATAACCATTGCCATCTGCTGTAAACAAGAGTGCTGTGATGCAGACGTAACATTAACTTATTTCAAACACTGGTCTATTTGAATATATTTTATTTCTTAATTTTTACTATGCTATATTTTATTTTTACTTGAAGTTGTTTTGACCTAAACTGTATTACTTGTAAGAATTCTATTTCTACATGAAACACATGAAACAAAAAAATTGGAATTTAAATTACAGGAAGATATTTGAACCATTGAAAATAGGCAGATGATATAGTTCTGATAAGGTATACCGCGAAATATGATCGATAAAGGTATATTTTAAATCTCTATAAAAAAGTGAAAAGTTGCTGGCGCCGGTGCGTCAGTGCGTCAAAAGTGTTTAGATACTGGCTTACTATTGCATTTCCGATTTTGGATAGATGGATAGCCCAGAAGAGAATGTTAGAGAGAACAAGGAGGCAGGAGCAATGCGTAATAAAGCTAAAGTAGTTCAGAGATATGTAATGAGAACGTTGGAGAGAAAGAAACAAGCAGAAAGCAACCCCAATAGAGGTATTGTGCAGAGGAGCAAGCAATAAAATAGAGTAGAGTGAAAGCTGGCGAGATTAAACATAAACAGGCAGGGAGAACGGAAGAAAAAAATTGTGCAGAGACAGCGAAAAAGTGCTGGAATGCCCAAAAATTGTAACTGAACAAGAAATCGGGTTTCTTAATATTGTTCTGAAGCTATTTTCTTGTGGCATTGTAAATTAATTACTATTAAACTGGGAATAAGCCACAATTAAAGATAAAAATACGTTTATTGACGTTTCAATTTCCACTTCGGAAATCGTTCTCAAAATACAAACAGTAAATTGACTGTTTGTATTTTGAGAACGATTTCCGAAGTGGAAATTGAAACGTCAATAAACGTATTTTTATCTTTAATTGTGGCTTATTCCCAGTTTAATAGTAATTAAGAAATCGGGTGGTGTGAAGTGTTGCGCTAACCTTTTTCCGATCAGAGTATTTTAGTCGTGATTTTTTAGCCTATAGGTCTTTAATATTGACTGCAATGGTGTCCGAACATTACCTGCGTACTGTATCGAATATCATCGTGGCCACGCTATGTAAATCCTGCATAACTAAGGATGAAGAGAGGTTCCCCCTGCTAGGACCGAGGTATATTGCCAACATTTTGACCATGCCCAATAATAAAAAACCAAAAAAAACCAAAAGAATGCATTGGACATATTAAACACAATTTATTTAAATTTAGTTTACGAAAATATTAGGAGTCATCGACTGAACTTAAAGGAATAGAAAATATAAGAGTATCAGGATTGCTTGTATATGATTAATTAATTAAAAAAACAACTTTATTATAAAGTTAACTTACATTACAAAAACAATAAATTAAAAGCAAAAAAGCTATTGATAAACTAAATAGCCGTTATATTGACCAATATAAATAAAATATAAAGCAAACTTTACCTTCTACTCGGTCTCCTACTCTGCCTTCTACTTGGGTTTTGCTATCTCCAGTATAAGGATCGTTCACGCTGTATGCAAACATGTAATGAGGGTTGGAGTCGTAATCTTTGTCTACTTGAACCGGCACGGCGGGAGAAATAACTCCAGCCTGGGCTACGGCCAAGAAAGCAACAAATGCGATAACCTAAACAAATAAAGGTACAACTATAGGTTGCTGTATGCCTAAATAAATATAAACTAAAAGTGGAGAAAATCTAAGTATACTTCTAACTGTTTAATTTCAATTTATTTTCATTTAACTCGTGATTCCTATATGTCCAAATATATTTGGTTAATGACATGAACTGATAATGTGAAAGATATTAATAGTCTTAATATCAGACACAGGGGAAATATTTAATTATTTTAAATAAGTTAAGAAAGGACGGCAGAGTGACGCTGAAAAGTAAAAAAAAATATATAATATCAGCCTTTCTCAGAAAATATCTTAGACAATATTTTCGTTGTATTTAACTCGCAAATTGTTCTTATTAGTTGCCATCTCAATATGCATCATTTTTCTAGTTATTTTGGTAACTAGCATGTAATCCGGCGTTGTTTGCTTTATTGGTTGGAATGTGAGTACAGTACAGCTTAAAGTTGTAACTCCAATGCATAGTATGAGAGTCATATTTACAATCAGTGAGATGGTCGCTTTGGGAGAGTTTAACTTTAATTTTTATTAATATTAAACACATATTCAGTTGCAGTATATGCTTAGTATCCCACGATAATATGAAGGATGCTTTCTTTTATTTGTCATTTATCCTAAAGATCCTGGAAGATATATTTCAGACAGTTTTTGGTTCAAATGATGTTTCGTGGAACATCTGTTCTGATATTATCGAATCATTTGACGTTATATTATCAAGAAAGTTCTGGTTCGTCTTATAAGATCTCTAATTATTATTAAATTCATATTAATTTGTTTATATTACTAAAAATTTGTAAAAAATTCATTTTTGTTAGAAAATCATGTTTAACTCATTATAATAGGGCAACGTCCCATTTTATTTTATAAGTCACTGAAAGTTAGATTTTTTTTCAACCTGTAAAATTTGTTAAACTTTAAGAACAAATTTTGTATACATCTTTTAAGCTGTAGTTAACTGAATTATATATTTTTTATTATATTTTTACTATTGTATTAATAAAAATTATAAACATCGAGCAGATTTGCTGACTTCGTTTAGATTTACACATTTAATATTGAAATTTTCTTAAGGGTAAATTTTTATTGTTTTTTTGGATTATTCTTGTTTGTGTAAGTTTTATTTTACGGATCTCTTAGTAGGACAATGGTATTCACTGTTATCAAAATATGTGCATAAAGCATTGTGTTTTTTAATATTCAATTTTCGATTTGTTTTTGCCATTAGTATAAAAAGTTTTACATTTTATCATATTTAGGAGACATTATTCCGCAATATCTAATATTTTAACGAATCCTATTTTTTATAATAAATATAAAAATAAAGTAAATAACCTGCCAAGAATTATGATGTATACTTTAGAATGACAGCTACAAGCTATATTGCCACCGCATTGTGCTCACGGACCATACAGTGGCACATAATAGACCAGATCTCAAACTAAAGAGACAAACAACACTTATGACGTGGCGATACCCAACAACAATAATCTTCGTGTTAAACAGAACGAAAAGATCCCCAAATACAAAAACCTGTAAATTTAAATACGAAGACAGTGTACAATGGAAAGTACCCAAACAATACTTATTATTCTATCTACTACTGGTGTTATTCCTAAAAACCTCCTATTGAACATAAAACAGCTGCGTCTAAATGAACATCTTTATTTAGAATATGCAAAAAGCTGTACTACTCTCAACGTCCAGATGTGTACGAAAATTTTTAGGAGATATTAATAGCATACCAGCATCCAGCATACCAAGTCCCCTAGGTCTCGATAACACGGAAAGAGTGCCACCAGAGCTAGTCGTTTTGACACCGTAGGTATCTGAGATAAGTAAATTTTCCCGTTTTGGGGAAGTGAGAGCAGTAAGGTTAAATCTGGATAATAAAGTAAAGAAAACTATCGTAAAATGATAAAAATATAAATCATTGAAGTAACTTATGCATGGAAAGTTTATTCAATTTATCTACAAATTTTAATATTGTTGTAGAAGTAGCGGATACTGTTAGCGGAATTTTTTGCTGTTTAATCCATCGCTGAATATTATCGTAAATATTTGATCTTAGGATCAAGACCAGTACCTCATATATTAGATTACATTTCTAAATCTATAAAACACTGAGTCTTTTTTAATTCCTACTTTATTTACCAGCAGAGATTTATTACTCCATTAACAAAAATATGAATATCGAGCAACAGGAATGCGGGAAAAGCTACCAAGTTATATTGACCCATATTCACAAGACTGATTGATATGGCATTAGCAAATTCATGACTTTTCTAAAAACAAGTCATTAAGTCAAATTATCACGTTATTAGATTTTCATCGATCTATAGGAATTTCCTACCTAAACTTGACTCATAATACAAGAAGTATAGTAGCAAGATTAAACTCTAAAGTATTTGCGGACATAAAATTCGATGGGAAAGAACACTTCATGGAGAAGCGTGAAAATCAGATAAAATGTCTAGAAAATTGTAAAGCCAAACCTAACTTGTGAAAAGAAAAATGGTAAGCACAGTTATCTATTTAAAGGATGGTTTAAAATTTTAAAAATGCAAAGATATAAAACATTTTTTTAAATATTTCCATATTAATAAACATATTACTGATAATTACGTAGGTTTTTGTATTACGTGTAAGTAAAATTTTGAAAAAAAAATTTGGGCGTCCAATATACAACTGAGTACTTAAAAAAAGTTTTAAGAGATGATCTACCATACCAAGTCACTTAGAGCTCGATAATATGGAAAGTGTCCCATCAGAGCTCAATCCTTCTGATACCCTAGGTATTTGGATGAGTGAGTTGCTCCCTTAGATGGAGAGAACCGTATGGCTAAAATCTGGATATAGTATTAGGAGTATTATATAAGTTTTATTATTAACACGGAAGATGTAATTTGATTTGCAATCATTTGTAATACAAATCATAGTTTATTCTTTCTTAAGAAAGTATAACTGGTAATAACAAAATATTAATAAAAAGAGATCGATAGTTTAATTTCACGCAGTCCATCTGTCTGTCCTCAAATTAGTGCGGCCAAAACTGCAGCAGGTGTAAAAAAACTAATGACTTATTCGGATTTAGTATTTTTACTTCCCAGAAAATTTGAAAAACATATTTACCTATAATAAACTAACTTGTGTTTTAGGGTTTCTGTTGTGACTGAGCATTGAATTCTTCAATACAGTATTTAAATATTGCAGTTGGTTTATGAAAACGATTTTAGAAGCTGTAATCTAACTTTCATTTAACAAATTCCAAAGAATTCTTCAATGATATTAGGTCCTGTTAGAGTATTTATCACCTTTAAGTTTATAGTTTTAAAGTTTTCGTCGGAAACTTGTTTTTATTTATACACTTCCAAACTTATGACAATTTTGAAACAAAAACAAATAGACAAGCGAGTTGCAAAATAATAAAAAACTCATAATATAACCAGACAGTGGTTAGCCACATTTGTAGATCACACAATCGGTGAACATCATAATTAAAAGAGGGGTACGGCAAGGTTACAATTACTCTCTATTATTATTTATTGTGTACTCGGTAGAGATACTATACAAGATATTATGCAAGAGGTACCAGACTAAGAAATAACTGATGTTATGATAAACCAATTTCCTACTCCTAACTTTGGATATACAGATGACACCGTGATAATGACAGAGCATATTCAAGATTTACAAAGAATTGTCCAAAAAATTTATAAACCAAGCTACAATTATAGCTTAAATATAAACTTAGATAAAACCAAATCGCTAATCTTCACCAAGAAACCAAATAAAAGTGCCCTACTTATTACTGGCGGCCAAATTACCGGACGTACATATAAATATAAATATCTTGGAACTTTAATAAATGATAATCATCATTTTGCAAAGACACCAACAACCAGAGTTGAAATTGCAAGTTACTTATTTATTAAAATGAAACAATTTTTTGTCCAAATGTTATAAATTTAGTATCATCCTATACTGTTTAAAGGCTGACTAAAACGTTGATAAGAAAAGTGGAAAATTTGGTGGCTTACATAAGAATATCTTAATAGCCTCACAAACAGAGTCACAAATAAGGAGGTCTTGGCAGGACTTTCAAAACTAAATAATGAAATTAAGATATAAAAACTTTAATACTTTGGTCAGGTAGAGAGAAACAAAATACCATCTAATACAGAATATCGTGTGGGGGACAGTTTTAAGAAACTAAAAACTGGACGCTGACAGATGCTCACGAGCAAACTAGAAGCAATCGAAATGTGGATGTACCGACGCATTCTTCGTATATCCTGCACTGAACATGTCAGAAACACAGAGGTAATTCAAAGAATCAGAAAGGAGAAAATAATCGTAAGCACATTAAAACAAAGACAGCTTAAATATCTAGGCCACATATTGAGACGCGATAAGTACCGTCTACTGCAACTGATTTTCCTGGGGAAAATAGACAGTAAGCGAGGGCCAGGTAGGAGGAGACAATCGTGGCTCCAAAATCTGCGGAAATGGTTCGAGCTCACATCGGTCGAACTATTTAGAAGCGCTGCAAACAGGATTAGAATTGCCATACTAATAGCCAACGTTCGCAATGGGCAGGACACTTGAAGAAGAAGTGTCATTAAAAAAATGAATGAAAGAACTATAAACAATAACCGGCCAAACTTTGTATGATAAATTAAGTAAAAATATTAGCAGAAGATGCAAAATAGATTCAGTTAACAATTTCTTAACCATACCATTGTTAAATATACGCTGGAGCTGATGTACAAAGTGATCAAACAGATTTCTAAAGTCAAAAAGAAAACAGTGACAAGAAAAATAGATATCTCACAACTGAAGAACCCTGAATAGAAAAAAGATATATGTATCAAGCTTAAGGACGAAATAAAAACAATCGAAAACTTGGTACAGACAGACATTAAAGTAACACAGACTACTCTTAAAATAAAACTAACAAAGATACAAAAAAAAGACATCGGGTTCATAAAACACAACAAAAAACAAGAATGGATAACGCAAGAGATCACGGACCTCATTAACGTAAGACGAAAACGACTTCAGAAAAAATACGATACCTTTAATATTCATAAAAAAGTAGTAGAAATGACAGCTAGACACAAAAAGACACTAGCAACACTATTAAAAAATGATAATAACGAAATAATTATGGGTACAGAAGACAAACTAGAGAGATGGAAAGAATACATACAAACTCTTTTTGACGACGAAAAAGGCCCAGAAGTAACCAAAGAAGAAGTGATTTACGCAGTAAAATCTCAGAAAAATGGAAAAGCCACCACTTCAGACAATATCAATGTCGAAATACTAAAACTAATTGTGGGTAATGAAAATAAAAGCCTAAACTTAATAACAGCACTATTCAATAAGATATATGACACAGGTAAAATACCAACAGACTGGCTAAAATCAACATTCGTAGCATTACCAAAAACATCGAATTCGGAATTCGATAATCATCCGAATCGGATGATTATCGAATATTAAGCTTGATGTCTCATGTCCTTAAAACTTTTCTCAGAATTATCCATACACGAATTTACAAGAAGTGCGAGTTCCAAATGAATGACAATCAATTCGGATTTCGAAACGGATTAGGAGAACAAAAGGCTCTTTTTGCTTTAAATGCGTTAAAACAACGATGCAAAGACATGAATGTAGATGTATATGCATGTTTGATTGAATATCGAAAAGCATATTGGGAGAAGCATTAGACCAGGTTCAAGGCGGAATTAAGAATAACGGAGTTAGCATAGACAACATCAGATGTGCTGATGATAACGTCTTAATAGCAAGCAACGCACAAGAACTATAAAATATAATAAATGCTGTAAATCACCACAGCGAAATGTCCGTTTTACATCTAAATGTTTTCAAAACTAAAACTTTAGTATTTTCAACGACACCAATAAACGTAAATATGTATGGCAAGGATCGAATAATAGAACAGGTAAATTCCATAAAATATTTGGGAGTAAATATCAATAGTCAGTGAAATCCAAAAAAAGTAACCCTACCAAGAATCGAACAAACAAGGAAAGCATTCATGAGCATGAAAACATTTTTTAAAAGATCAGACTTTAGTCTGCAGCTTATAATCCGAATGATCAGATGTTACATTTTTTCTGTCTTACTGTAGCAGTTTCCAAAAGTATAATTGCTAGTTGGATCACCTTTGAAATGAGACGGCGCCATGACAATAAGAACAATTTCTTGTTAAAAACGATAAAGAACAATGAAAAGAAGAAAAAAAACAAATAGAGTAGTCATTTAAAATATTAAACATTGTAATATTGAAATGATTGAATTGAATAATAACATAAAAAGTAAAAGCATTGTACAGACGACAATCAAAAGTAGTAAGATCAGGAGGTGTCAATATATGATACTAGACGAATAAAAGTATTTAGAGGATAAAACAGATTACAATAGTTTCTTGCCCTACGGTATTAAATGCAAGTGACTCTGTTATTTTAATAAAATAATACTAAAATAAAATTTTTACTCATAAAAGAAACACATTGAAACATAACAATGCTGAAGAAATTCTAAACTTGAGATGTTACAATGTTGAGAACTCATGAAGGATTACTACTGAAAATTGAAGCTGGCACTAAACAGACATGAAATTTATAAAAGTCAAAAGACAAATTTGGTGACAGATTCGAAATTCGAAAAAATTAAGCGTTAAGAGGAAACACATAAAATTAAATAATGTTAAAAAACAACGTAATAATACATAACAACATCCAAAGAAATTAAAAAAAAAAACGAAAGAAAAAATTATCTTCAAACTACTAAGTGACATCAAATTCAAATGTTTACCAAAACATTAAGCAAAAAATAGAACAAACAGGTTAATTAGATCATAATAACATTATAATAACAAATATCCATGATAAAAAATTTGAATACATAAAATAAATAATATATTACATTTTAGATTATAAATTAACCATTAAAAAAATTTTAATTTTTACATGCCATACATAATAAAGACTTTATTAAAAACTCTTTAATTAAAGGACTCTGTTAAAAATGATTTAAACACACACACATCTCTATCTCTTATTATGTTTACGTTTTAAATATGGTCTAGTGTTTGTTGACAAAGGGACTTACCTTGTGTGACATTTTCGAGGATGCTGCTGAAGATCTGCACAAAGTGGTCCAGGATCATCTGGTAGCTTTGTTTATATAGGTCGGCATGACGCAGCGTGCCAAAGCTATCTTTATCTCTTCTTGCTTTACAGCGTGGGGGCAGGCGGTGTAGTTGGTCATAAGGCCTTTTGGCAGTTATTACTATTATAAATAAATGTCGCAAATAAAATTGTCTCTTTTGAGCGATATGATAAGACAAATAACAGAAATGTTTCTCGTCAATTAAAGCGTTTATTAACTAAATATTAACGTGTATGCCTAATTCAATTCTCTTTTGAATACTAAAATAAAAGTGACTGAAATATAAGCTAAAAAAATAATTTTAAATTGCAGACATGATCTAACACCAAAAAACAGATATAGTTCTGATGCTCTATTTTTGTTGCATGTTTATATTACTTACTGTCTTATTGGATATAAAGAACAATTTAAGTTAAAAATATCTTTACTATGACGTTTTAACTTCCAATTTGAAATGCCTTCTCAAAATTAAATTAAACAAATTATTTTGTCTTGTTACTTGGTAATACAAAAAATTATATAGTTTAGTTTTATCTGACTCATTCATAGTGACAAACAATACAGAAATAAAACGAATTCATTTAGTAAATCTAATTATTTTCTGAACCTTGATTGGGCATTATAAGTTTTGAGTTAGGCAAAACGTATATAATATTATATTAAATTGTAAGTGGATATTAAGGTCTTTAAAACTCCCGCGATTTTTGGAGCACGAGTGCTTAAAATAGAGCAAGTGTTTTAAAGATCAATTATCCACGAATACTTAAATCTTTTTTTTATTGGTACCCTTTGAGATCATGTATTTTTACTACAAAAAATTGAAATAAGAGCGAATAATGTAAACAAGTTCAATTTATGATGTACAGTTATATTCAAAGAAAAAGGGTACAAGTTTTAGAAAGAGAAGTTAACGTCATCCTATTTGTGTAAAACCGGCTGGGAATTTTGGAGGTTATCAAATGTCATAAGTGATCAAAAATCTAAAATCAAAAAAACTCATAGACGTCAAAGAGGTTTAATTTGATAGAAGGTTTAACGTTACGTACAATAAAAAATTAATATGCCTCTTCATTTAAGTGAGATTGAAAAGGCTCAAATAATTACGAAAATGAAAAAAGGATGGTCAATTCGTGCGCTAGCAAATTTCTATAATAGAAATTTGAAAACAATCTTCAGAATTAAGCAACGATGGGTCCAACAACAATCATTAAAAAGAAAAGTTGGTTCAGGGCGTTCCAAAGTATCCACTCTTCAACAAGATGCTGCTTTAGTTCAATTCTTAAGAGATAATCAATTTTCGACGTCGAAGGATTCAAGGATTCATACGGGATTTCGTAGTGCCCAACCTACTGTAAGCAGAAGGATCATTGAATCTGAATTATAAAACCGTCCAGCTGCTAAAAAACTATTAGTAACTGTTGAACATTGGCAAGCAAGAGTAATATTTGAACTAAACTATATTTACCGCAACCCACAATTTTGGAACAACGTCATTTTTACTGATGAAAAGACTTTTAAATCGACCTATAACTGTCAAATCCGTGTTTATCGTCCAGCCAATACTAGGTTTGAAGAACGATATATTCACTTTCATAATAAATCTGGACGTTTTTCTGTAAATGTATGGGGTTGGATTAGTATACATGGACCTGGTGTTTGTTGGGGATTAGAGGGAAGATTTACTGCCGACAATTACATTAACGTTTTGGAACACGTAATGCTCCCTTCTATTGAGCAATTGTATCCTAATAATACTTTTATATATCAACAAGATAATTGTTCAGTCCACACTGCCCATGATGTAAGGAATTTTTTTCAAACGCAAAACCTGGAAGTATTGCCATGGCCTGCACACAGTCCAGATATAAATCCAATTGAAAACATTTGGGCATAATTGTTAAAAAAAATATATAAAAGAAATTTGATGCTACACAATTCAGATCAATTGTGGTATACAATCTTAGAGTGCTGGGAAGATCTTGATCCAAATATGATATCTAATATAATTCAAAGTATGCCAAATAGACTAAACAAAGTTATAGAAGCAGACGGTTCTATCACCAAATATTAAATTCTATTTGTAACAGTCATTAAAATTATTCTTTATATAATTGTTGAAAAAATGGTTTCGTCTAATTAATGCTCAACGCCAATGATTTATATTTTTAATATCCTGTGACATTTGATAACCTCAAAAAATCCCAGCCGGTTTTACACAAATACGATGACGTTAACTTCTCTTTCTAATACTTGTACCCTTTTTTTTGAATATAACTGTACATCAGTAGAACTTTCGTTATTATGGAAATGAGAAAAACAAAAATTAATTTGCAATCGGTCACATCAGATTAATTGTTATTACTGGTTGTATATCGACCACTGCAAAGAATAACGTTTTAACCAGCATTTATGATATTCTTTAGAAATGATAAAAAAAGTTACCAATTTCTTTGATTTCTTTTTTTATATGTATATCACATTTTTTCAGTGTCAGAAGTAAGTAGTTATATAAATGTTGAACTCCTCTGTTAGAATAAGGTCTACTTTTTTTTTACTACAGAATAGGTTTTTCAACTGTGGCAGTTACAGTTTTTGATATAAATATAAAGTTTCATCGAATAATCTTGTAACTGCACTTACGATGTTCTCATCGGAAAAGTTAATATGAATTTCAAATTATTGCTCGTTGTAGGTTAAGGAATAATAAAAGTAGATAGTTTTTAAAATGCAAATTTTATTACAAACTAAATATAAATTCGAATTAAATTTAAAATGGACATATTTATTTTATGTCTAGTCTTCCATATCGCCGTCTTGATTAATGTTATTGCAATCAACAGGAAGATTTTTAAAATAATCGTGGTGACAGGAATGCACTATCTTTGACATAAACTCTGCAGATCATCATATTTTGCTTTTGTTATCCCTAGATAAGATGAATATGCTATATGTAGATTCTTAAAAAGACCTTTACTAGAAGTTGTTAACCTTTTTTGTTTCCTGGAGATAGGTTTCTGTAGCAAGTTTAACTTAATTTTTTTATCGGATATGAAATCATATTGAATATTCACCGCGCCAGGATTTGTTTCAGAAATATTTATGTGTTTCACCATGTTCCACACCATTTTTTCATAACAAAAAATCAAAGACATCGAAGTATCTAACAAATTTTCAGAAGGAAGCGGCCACAGATTATTCCGAGCTAATAAACTATTAAATTTCAAATTGGAAATAACAAGATGATCCCAAAAACAAGAAAAAATAAATAGATTCCCTCAGAAAACAACGATTTGTATAAAGATACACTAATAAGACATATACAAGACTTGTAAGATGAAATAGAAGATGTAGATCAAGCAAATGATGGTATAAGGAAGGCTCTAAAAGAAACGAAAATGAAGTGCAGCCGACCGTTTTGACCCATAAAGAAAAACTAAGCCAAAATACCAATAAATTTATGAGTAACAAAAGACAGTTGATGGCAAAATACGGCTCTAACTACACAACAATAAAGAAATTAAATTAAGATATCCACCGGTCAAACCGAAAAGACGTAAGAGAAAACAATACAAGAGAAATAACTAAAATATTTCAAGAAAATAAAAGTTTAAAATTTTCAGGGAAAATACAAACAACATTGGCAACAAAAATATGTAAAAAATAGAAAACAATAACGGAAACATTACTACTGATAGAACCAAAATCCTCAAGGTTATCGAATCCTTTCATCGCAAAATGTATGAGATCACCGACGAAAGGGAAGATCAGCCCTTCTCCAAAATCACAAACCAGGGATCAGAATTAATGACAAAAATAGCTCCATACGAAATCAAAACGGTACAACTAGAAATGAAAAAAAAATCCGCTGGTGATAACGAAGTAGTGATTGAAGCAATAAAACTAGGTGAAAATAAAATTATACAAGCTTTGGCCAAGGTTTTTTGACCGAATGCATCTACCAAGAAAAAACTCCTTCTTAATGAAACAGTGGAGTCTTTATTTTATTACACAAGCAAGGAGACGTAACAGATCTAAAAAAACTACCATCGGGATACAGCACTAACGACCACTTACTAGTAATAAAGAAACTGATAGAGAAGTCTGCAGGATATTACAAACCATTGGCAGTGATATTTGTCGACTACAAGAAAGCATTCGATAACATAAGCCATCATAAAATGTTAAAATCATTGACAGAATGCCGAGTATACCATCGCTACACTAACATAATCAAATATGTCTACCAAAATGCCACAGCTAGGTTAAGACTATCAAAACAAGAAATAATTAAGTTCTGTATACAGTAAGAAGTCCATAAGGAGACACTGTCTCTCCAAAGCTATTCACTCCGATTTTAGAACATACTTGAAAAAAGTCTGAACGAGCATGTTATCAGCATAAATGGAGAGAAGCTCAGTCATTTGAGATTTTCATAATACATCGGCCTTATATGTAGTTGATCGTATTGATATAATAATAATGTTTGAAAAATTATGTCACGCTTCTTTGGAGAATTGGGCTAAAGAATAAACAATACGCAAGTAATGACTAATCTGTTACTAAATCTAAATACTGCTGTTGATGGAAGGTATATTGTGCAGACTACATCGTATAAGTATTTCTTCTTCTTCAAGGGCCCTGTTCATTGCGAACGTTGGCTATTACCATGACAATTTTGATCTTGTTTGCGGCGCTTCTGAATAGTTCGACCGATGTGAGCCCGAACCACTTCCGCAGATTTTGGAGCCCCGAGTGTCTTCCCCTGCCTGGCCCTCGCTTACTGTCTATTTTTCCCTGGACAATCAATTGTAGCAGACGGTACTTATCGTGTCTCAATATGTGGCCTAGATATTCAAGCTTTCTTTGTTTAATTGTATTCACGATCTCTTTCTCCTTTCCGATTCTTTGGAGTACCTCTATGTTGGTGACATGTTCGGTCCAGGATATACGAA